GATATTCCAAGTTGGGTTAACTTTCTAACATTAAACAATTTCTGAATTCCAAAACATATTTGGTCCCAAAGTGTATGGATATTTGATTGTGAATCTGGATAAGCCTGGAAAATTACTGTTGTTTTCAACCAAAATCAGAACAGTGTAAATGTTTGTAAATTGAAATGAATGGAAAATGACTAGAAAGGAAAATTTAAAACATTTTTAGCACTGATAAACATACTGTTCTGCTGTTATTTTTGAAGTTCCATATTTCTTCTCCTTCGGTTTATTTTTGTATTAAAGATTATTTATCATTTTAAACATAAATTGGGGAGGGGGCCAAGATGATGGATTAGATGAAGCAGCCTATACACACCACTCTCACTGAGGGGATTGAAGGTGGTGAGTGGACATTGACCTTCAGATCATTTGTCTAAGAGCATTGTGAATTAAAAAAGAGCTGACAGGAGCCACCCAAAGGAAAGGAGAGGGGAGAGAGGCAACCTGCTCTGTAGTTTGGGGGTACACAGGGAAGATGAGTGCATACATGGGGAAGGGACAGAGGAGAGAATCCTAGGGCTCCACATTCTTCCCACTATCTGTCTCTTGTCATTATTATCTGAGCTGCAAGAGGGACCTTCCACTTCAGAAGGCCACAGGACTGACATAAGGTGCTGACTGGAGACCGTGCTGCAGCATTGCTCAGGTGAGAAAGCATAGCAAGGACCCATGGGCTAACTGAACCCTGGAAACTGAGGCTGGCACCATTTTAAAATCCTAGACCTAGAGCACTGCCTCTACCCAGAGGTCACATGCATTGCTGCTCCTTCTTCATAGCAGCTGTGGTCCTGAGGAACAGAGAAAGCAGGGAGGCCAGGCACTCTTTGGAGTCCTGTGGGCAGGAGCTGCTTACCTCCTCTCCTGCGGGGGCGAGGAAGGGCGACAATTGCTGCCACCTGTTGACATGGGTGGACCTGCACTCAAGCTGGTGCCAACTGACAAATGCTGTTTACATATCTAAGCCAGACAGCCCTCAAGCAAGTGTGGGCTGTCAATCGCTGCCACTCAAAGGCATGGACAGGGCTTCACTTAAGCTGCAAAGGCCAAAACACTGATGTATGTGGATCTAATCCAGTTAGTTCTCAAGCCAATGTGAGCTGACAGATGTCACTATCTACAGACGTGAGCAGCATTCTGCTCAAGCTGGCACTGCCACCCACAAATCTGAGCAGGACAGCTCTCAAACCACAGCATGGGCAGACAATCACTGCCACCTGTGGGCATAGGAGGAGATGCACTCAAGCTGGCACAAGCTGACAAATGCTACTTCACACAGATCTAAGTGGAACAGCTCTCAAGCTGGCTCATGGTGAAAATCACCACTGCTGACAGAACCAGGTGGTGCTCACTCTGCAATATGGGGACTACCAGTGACAACCACAGGGAATAGTAAGGCAGGAGATGCAGGAGAACAGCAGTGTAAATGCTCACAGTGTATTTGCCTATTTTGTGTGGGGTCGATCCTCCAGAGTCAGACACAAGTGTACCATCCAGGGACCTCTGATTTGCACTAAGTAGGAGGGTCCCAGCAGAGGAGAACAAGTGCACTGCAACTTATCTGACTTCAGATGAGAGAGGAGATGTCAGAAGAGAAGAAACCAGAATAAGAACTCTGGCAACATGAAAAAAAAAAAGCTGTTTTGATTGCCCCAAAGGATCACAATAGATTTCAAGCAATAGACCCCAATCAAAAGGAAATTGTTGAATGTCAGAGATAGAATGCAAAATATGGATGGCAAAATAAGATAAATTGGATCAAAGAGAAAGTTGAAAACTAACATAAAGAAGTAAAAAAATTGTTCCAGGGTATGAATGACAAAAATAAAAAACTTGCTAAAGAGACAGCATAAAAAAAGATATAACAGGACTTGTATTTCAAAATATAGCAGTGATGTTCAACAACAGGCTAGACCAAGCAGAAGAAATAACTTCAGTACTTGAAGACTTTTGAACTAACCTAGCCACTCAAAGATGCACAAAAAAGAATGAACAATCACTCACAGAAGTGATAGAGGACTATGCAAACTGGGCCAATATAAGAATTATAGGCATACCAGAGGGAGAAGAAAAAGCAAAAACATGGAAAACCTATTCAAGGGAATTATTGAAGAAAACTGCTCTGTTATCAGCAGAGATTCATATATTCTTATACAATATGGTCATCGAACACCAGGAAGATTCATAGCAAAAAAGACATCTCCAAGACACATAGTCATTCACCTGGCCATAGTCAAAATGAAGGAGAAAGTTCTATAAGTGCCAAGATAAAACCAACAACTAACCTACAAATGAAAACACATCAGGCTAACAGCAGACTTCTCAGCAGAAATCTTATAAACCAGAAGTGATTGGGGCCCTATTTTTAGTCTTCTAAAATAAATAAATAAATAAAAAGAACTGCTAGCCAAAATTTTGTATCTGCAAAACTGTTTCATAAATGATAGAAAAATAAAGACTTTTTCAGACAAGCAAACACTATGGGAATTTGTCATTTCTAGAACTACCCTACAGGAAATACTTAAAACTGTATTACATATGTGACAGTACAATAGATACTTACCAGTATAAAAACACCCAAAAGTTAAAGCTCACAGCTCTAATAAAACAATAGCATAAGAGATAAAACAAAACAACAAGTTATTCCTCAACCTGATGAATAGAATAGTATCCTACATATCAATATTAACACTGAATGTCAACAGTCTTAATACCCCACTTAAAAGATATAGTCTAGCTGGATGGGTAAAAAACAAACCAAAGATACATGTCGTCTCCACAAAACATATCTATCTCACAAGGACCCACACAGACTCAAGGTAAAGGTATGAAAAAATATTTCACACAAATGGAAATCGAAAGAGAGCAGGTATAGCCACTATCATATAAGATAAAATAGAGTTTTTAAATATTTTAAATTACAATGGCTGCATAATTGCTGTATATCTTCATAGGGTACATATGACATTTTGATACAGGCATACAATGTGAATTAATCAAATCAGGGTAATTGGGATATCCATCACCTCAGGCACTTATCATTTCTTTGTGTTAAAAAATATTCCAATTTCACATCTTTTAGTTACTTTAAAGTATACCCTAACTTAGTGTTGATTATACTCACTTTGCTGTGCTATCAAATATTGTTCATTATATCTATCTAATAATATTGTTGCAGTCTTTAACTATCCCCACTTTATCCCCCTACCGTGCTACCTTTTCCAGGTTCTTGTAACAATCATTATACTCTCTGTGTCCATGAGAGCAACAGTGATAAAAAAAAGACAAAAATGGTCATTATATAATGGTAAAGGGAACAATACAACAAGAAGACATAACACTCCTAAATATACAGCACCTAACACAGGTTCTTCTCAGATTCATAAAACAAATTCAACTAAATCTAAACAAAGACATAAACAGTAGCATCATTTTTGCTGGGGACTTTGACACCCCAGCCACAGAACTGGACAAGTCAGTGAAGCAGAAAATCAATAAAGAAACTCTGGACTTAAACAAGACTCTAGAGCAAATGGATCTAACAGACATTTACAGAACATTCTACTCAAAAGCTACTGAATATACATTCTTCTCATCAGCACATGGGACATTTTCCAAGATTAATCATATTCTAGGGTACAAAAAAGTCTCAGAAAACTAAAAAAATATCAAAATCATACCGTGTATCTTCTTAGACCACTTCTGAGTGGAATAAAACAAGAAATCAATTTCAAGAGAAACACTCAAATCCATACAGAGTCATGGAAATTAAACAACCTGTTGCTGAACGATTCTTGGGTTAATGATGAAATTAAAATGGAAATCAAAGGTTCCTCAAACTGAATGATAAAGGAGAAATAAGCTTTCAAAAATTAATGGGATACAGAAAAAGTAGTCCTAAGGGGAAAGTTTATAGCCTTAAATGCCTACATCAGAAAGACAGAAAGATTACAAATTAATAACCTTATGTCACACCTCAAGGAATCAGAAAAAGAAGTACAAACCCAAGGCAACAGAAGAAAAGATATCACAAAAATCATAGCAAAACTAAATGAAATGGGAACCAAATACACACACACACACACACACACACACACACACACACACACACTATGCAGGACTATCCAGCTAAAAGGTAATGAAATAATCTCTTTTGCAGCTACTTGGATGAAACTGAAGACCATTATCCTAAGGGAAGTAACTCAAGAATGGATAAACAGACACTGCATATACTCTCTAATAACTGGGAACTACATGATAATCAGGATGAGCACAAGTGATGTAAGGGGTATTGGAAACCAACAAGAGGGAAGAATGGGAGAGAATGAGAGATAAAAACTTACCTAACAGGTACAATGAATACTATTCTGATGATGAGCACACTAAAAGTCCCAATTTAAACATTATACAAGGTATCCATGTAACAAAAACATTAGTATTCCCTACATATTTTGAAATTATAAAAAGAAATAAAAATAAAATCTTAGTTTTTATAAATAACAGGGAAGGAGTAAACTCATTAACTCTTCTTTTAGCTTCCCAATTAGAGATTCGACCTTGACATTTGAATTTGTAACCTACCAATGTCTATATAACACAATAGGAAAGTGGTAAGTATCACTTTCTGATAGACAGTTCCTGAAAAGTCAGAGTTGGTTTGACCAATTTAAGGAATTTATAAAATTTAAAATTATAAAATTTAAAAAAATGCACAAACATTTATGCATGCCAACATTTTCAGAACCTTTCTGATATTTGATATTTCACAAACTTTTTCTCACTGATAATTTTCTTCAAATATGGTTTCTTCATATTTCACTTTTCTCATGTAAATGTGTCACTTCAGGCAATAATACATGTTCCTAAAGTCAAGGATGATTCCACTGCTTCCCTGGTATATTGCTAGAATTTTAATTTCATAGCTTAATGATTCAAAGAAATCAAATAATGTTCACAGATACCTGAGATATCAATGCTGTTCAAATCAATATGGAAAGTGGCCAGTTGGCTGGATTTATTTGCTTCAATGCCTTGAATCAGTTCCTCTTTTACATTTTCATCTGACACCCACTGGGCAAAGAAAAGGTCAAATATGACTATAATGCTGCCATTTCTGCAAAGCAAAAGATGATATAGGAGGAAAAAAATCAGCCATCTTCAAGTGATTTGTGTTCAATTCATTTAAAATGTCTTTGAAATTCTCTGTAGTTATCACCTTGCTAATCCTCATTACACCTGTGTAAGGTAGTTTATATCAAATATTATCTTTATTTCATGAGTTAAAGAAATAGGAATTTAAAGTATAAATGCTTTTCTAAGAAGACAAACTTTCAAGTAGATCCTAAATTGGAATCTGAGTTTTCTGAGTTTCAAGTTAGAATACGAATCCCTGGGCTAGGCTGTTCCTAGAGTCACTGGTGTTAAGTTTAACAAAATAACATGATGTCCTGGCACTTATTCTGATTTCACTGTTTGAAGAGATGAAGGGTATGGATTTATGATTTTACTCTTTGAAGAGATGAAGGGTGGATGATTTCTATGTCAAGAGAACTCTAAGATAGTTTCATTGGTTTCAAAGAAAATATTTCCATGTAATTTAAGAAGTCCTGATAGGAAGCTTATAGCAACTAATCTACTTTTTCTTCTTTATTTTGCTTAATATAAAATACCAAAACATATTATGATTTCAAGTGATAGAAAGAGAACAAGGACCCCTGGAATTGAGTTGGGGTTGTCTTGCCTACATGGTCTCTGATCACAAGATTAGAGTTCAATCACGTAGCCGTATCATCTTCTCTTTTATTTTGTCCCCTGGCCTGTAGTGTGCATTTTAAAAGGCGATTTTTTTTTTCAATTTAAAGACAGATAAAAATGAATAAAATTTTGGCCAATGGGGATACTTGAGAAATCTTTGCTCTCCTGATTACATTCTATTTGCTTCATGCTATCTTTTTAGAATACACCACTTGGGAGACAAACTCTAGCTCTGATAATTATTCTTTACCCCTTAGTAAGCTTTCGTACCCAGGGTTTACTTGATTCCTTAGGAGACAGACTAGGAAAAACCATATTTTATGTCATATGTTTGCTGGTTTTGAAATATAGGAGTTACTCTCATATATTCTTATGATATCTGTAAGTTTATGAGTTTCTTGAAGAAATCTGCTAACTTCAAAAGTGTTCTTTATTGGTCTGTCCATCTATGTATCCTGATGGAACCTAGAGGAAATGTTATTCTTTTCCTCCATGACTGTATATAAGACCACAATATTCCTGAAAGACCATAGTAGATCAGCATCTCCACTAGGTAGCATATTCCTTCTTAATGTCTATGCCACTATTCAGTGTTACAATTTAGCAGAAGGGACCCTTTCCTTGTAGCTGGTTTTTCATTTTTTAAATGAACAGGATACTCTCATATAATATTTTCATACTTCACATCTATTAAATACATTTTCTAAAATGTTAAGTTTAGCTTTCCAATCATTTGCTTAAAGCACAGTAACCAAATCTTGTAAACGAAAAGAGTTAGTAACTGTTTAGCTCAGGGTTCCACAAACTTACCCAGACATGGAATCGGTGTTGTCTTTGGTAATGTTACATTTTGTCACAGACACTGCTTTTATCTACTCTTCCGCACTTGTCAATTTTTCCATGCTGGCCGAACCCTAATCTTACTGGAAAATAAGTTTTTATTTTCTCGGGAAAGGTGACATCTTCTTTAACCATTCCTCATTTCAGACATGGTTTTATTCATGGGTGATTACCAGGCACTGGTCAATGAAATTTGAGGGGAAGACTTATGGGAAACTTCTGGAAAACTTTTCCATATCTAATAAAAGAACTGCTCATAGTAGACTACTGGTCTTCTTGGTTGAACATTGTGTCTTCATATGATTGCTGGAACTGCCACATCTGTCTTAAGGCCAGGAGGCAAGCCATTGTTGACTAGCTAAACATAGCATATTGGAGAAAGGAAAGCACTTGAATCCCTGTCTATGTCATTGTTATTGCAACACCAAATTAACTTGTGCTGAAACTTCCAGATTTCGTGTGATGTCAAGTAATAAACACATATTATTTAAGGAATTTTTAGTTACGTGTTATGTCAATTGAAAATTTTAAAATCCTAACTTGCATATAACTCTCAGGCCTCATTTCATATTTATATAAACAGAAGCTCCAGAAAAGGATGATTATTTTTGCACCCTATGTTGACTAACATTTTCATTTAAGCAATAAACACATTGAGGCTCAAAGTAATGTAGGTAACTTTGCTCAGGGTTATACAGCTTATTGGTGTCAAAGATCAGAATGAAACCTAGGATGTCTCTCTTTCTAATATGTTTTTATGTAATTCACACACTCCATCCCTGACACCACTGTTATTGATACCAACTCTGTCATGAAGTGTATGTCAGCAGGAAAGAGACCACGGCACATTCACCTTAGAGGCAAGTTTTGGTTTTTGTTATCTTGCATTCTAATCAGAACTTCATATACAAATAGATGAGGAAAATAGCTAGTTGGATATTTTTTGGGAGAAGGGAAAGATATTTTAATCCCTCTAATACTTTCAAGAGAGTCTTCCTTCTTCATCATCCTTTTCCTCTTACTTTTTCCTCCTCCTCACTCTCCTCCTTTTATTCCCTTCCTCCTTCTTATCTTCTTTCTTCTTCTTCTTCTTTGCCTTATGTCTCCCTAACCAAACTTATCACTTAAAATAGTTACATGGACAGGATTAAATATAGCTAAAATAAAGTGAGGGTGAATAATGTCCATTATTTTCTCTGTTTTCAATCCCACTTTTTCATCTTATCCCTTATTGTGCATTAGAAAATTTTAATTCTGATTAAATCTGTGTTTTATTTTTATGTAATTTCACATATTTTAATTTGAACATTTGCTTTTATTTTACCTAAGTTAGGGAATGAAAGAGGTGAGGTATTTTCAGAAAAGAGTGCAAATCAGGAATTTCCTTTCACTGAGTTGAAAGTAACTGGATTAGTTCATCCTCAGGCATAAAACATTTTTGTATGAAAGATGTGTTTTCTTAGTTGTGAATTATACATTGCATTTAATAATTTATACTTTGCAAGGACAGGAGTTGCATATCCTATATTCACATAAAGTTGTATGGTCTAAGTATTTTTTTCTTATTCAGTGTAAATGTTGAGATAAGAGAGACATATAATAGAAATCAAGAGAATAATAATAATAAATTGTGTTTCTCCTTATAAGAAAGCTGAAGCTCTTATTTTAGTAGTTTAGTAATAATTTCATTTATTAAGGTAAATTTTTCTTTCTTTAGGGAAAAAAATGAAATGATAGCCATTTTCATTTCAAAGCACTTGCTCCAGTGGAAAAGCTGTCTTTTTTTTTCCACTTTCTTTTTCTTATGATTTATTTTTATTTCAGTATACTATGGGGGTACAAATGTTTAGGTTATATATGTTGCCTTTGCCCCACCCTAGTCAGAGTTTCAAGTGTGTCCATCCCCCAGATGGAGCACACCGCACCCATTAGGTGTGACTGTACCCATCCCCTCATCCCCCCTCCCACTGCCCAACACCTGATGAATGTTACTACTGTATGTGCACATAAGTGTTGATCAGTTAATACCAATTTAATGGTGAATACATGTGGTGCTTGTTTTTCCATTCTTGAGATACTTCACTTAGTAGAATGGGCTCCAGCTCTATCCAGGATGATATAAGAGGTGCTAGATCACCATTGCTTTTTGTGGCTGAGTAGAACTCCATGGTATACATAGACCACATTTTACTAATCCACTCATGTATTGATGGGCACTTGGGCTGTTTCCACATCTTTGCAATTGTGAACTGTGCTGCTATAAACATTCAAGTGCAGCTGAGCCTTTTTATACAACAGATAAATCCTATCATTGTACAGAAAGCCTGTGTGTAATAGATCTAAATGTTTCTTATCTCATATTTTCCTTAATAATATTGATAACCTTAAGGGTTGCTGAGTAAACTAAAGCCTTTCCTTTCCTAACTTGGTGACTTATCTATGCTCAAAGGGCAAAATAAACTGCTTTATTTTGTGCATGTTGCCACAAAGGGTAAACAATCCTTTATTAAAAGAATCAACTGCTAAATGCTCTTTGAGTCAAAGCACTTTTCCACAAAGCATAATGATAGAAAGTGTTTCCAAAGGAGAGCAACCCATTTAATTATCCTGCAGAGTAGCTCCCCCCTCCCAGCCCCACACACAATTACAAAGTTAGCAGGTAGCAGGGGTTGGCATTAAATATTTGTAAGAAGAGGAAATAGGGTAGTAACTATGTTTAGTATTCTGAATGCTATAATGTGACATACACACACACAGATGTAGTGTGAATGTAATTAAAATCTGTAACAAAAAATGAAATGGGTATTTTAAAGGATTTTTAGATATATTTTTTAAATTTGCTATGGATATTGTTAGTAAGGTGAGAAGTTAGTTTTTTTCTGTTACTTGATTTTATCAATTGGATTTTAAAATTAAAATAATTTATAAAGCTAATGATGAATCTGTCACTTTCTCTTATGAGTCCAATATGTCTATTTATATGTGATTATTCAAAGTAATCCTAAATATTTCCTTGTTACTCTCTCTCTCGCTTCTGAATTCCTTTTCCTATCCTCCCCTGTTTGGTCTCCCAAAGTAACAACCTATAATTTATCTTGTAGATGTTTTCATGAAATTCCTTTGCATTGCATTTTTTCAAAAACTCATTTCTGATTTAAAAGTTCAACTACTACCAGGGGAAAATAGCTCTACATTGATGAAGTACATTATTTTAGAATCATTATAAAATATTTATAAAGATTTGGGCACAATAGTGGCCTCCTAGGTAGCTCCTAGGATGGAAAAGAAATAATTCCTCAGCTCAAATAATTTATAGTTTCAAAGATAGTGATTTTGCCATCTAGAGAGAGAAAAAAAGATTACTTACTAAATACCAAAGAAAAATGCTGAGATTTTGATAGCCTACCAGGTCTATGTATGAAAGTCTATATACAGCAAATTTTGCCAATCTAATAAATATAAAGATATCCACCATGTTGTATACATGTGAACATGAAGGGTTGCATTAGCAAAACTATTCTGATAAACTCTACAATGGATACTGTGCTTTTTATATAGAATTCAGTAGGCAGAGTCCAATTAAGGAGAGACAGGTACCTGGGATACCTTTCCTACAGGGAGGATAAAACCTTTCAGAACTAAATCTGAATTGATGCGTCACTGCAAATCTCCAGACTCAGTCCTCTACAAAAATGGAAAAGAGAAATTTTGTTCCTTCACTCCAAAGTAGACAAATTGCTTCAAGTGGATTTAAAAAAAAATCACTTGCATGCATGATTTTACCCTTACAGAATGAATACCTAAAAATATTTTATAAATAGCACTTTGAAAAAGACAAAAGTAATTAAGATTTCTTGGGAGTCCACATGTCTCCTTCTAGTCTTGATACTGGGACAATGAAAGAGGCTACCAGAGATAACAAGTTCTGGAAACAGGGGCAAAAGCCTCTGTATGGTAGCTAAGAATAAAGACAGCAAAAGGATATAGAACCAGCTACTGGGATTAAGATGTCAAGAATAATAGGCTAAAGAATGATAACTATAGATAGATAAATAGATGAGAAAGAAAATAGGAGAGCAAGAAAGAAAAAATTAAACTCTTTTGAACTCTTTTGTATAAAATATAAAGCTTCCCCTCTTTTTATTGTATCTTTAATAGCATTAGTATTGCCCTATCAGGAAATGACAAGGCCCTGAGGTTCCTCCTGACCATTAGATAATCTTCATATGACTTCTGTCATTGTTTTTCTAAGCATGACCTTTGATTTGAGCCTTCTGCCTTTACTTCATCTCTAAGAATTAAGGATTCTTTTGCTAATGTCAGTACTTTGCAATGACTATGTATTAATTATCTTTGTCCTTTGGCTCTTTGATTCAATTGTTCCTGATCCAAGATAGGAGACTAACCTTTCTATAACAACAGGCTCATTGTATTTTAGGGCTGTCATTTGGCACACATTTCATGAGAACCCCTGGGTTTGTATTCAGCACACTCATGATATCTCAACATCTTCTTAGTGGACTTCAAAGCCAGCCAGATTATACACTCAACATACTATACTAATTCTTCTTTCTTTACCAGAAATGGCTTTTGTTTTCTTCTCTACTCAAGTAGTCTCTACCTATCCTTCTCAGACTATATCCCATATTTTTCACAAAGCCTTCCATGACCCACCCTTCCATGTCAGGGGGCTCTTTAATACATTAACTCATCTGCACCTTCAGAGAACTATTTTAGAATTTTTAATTAAAATTATATTCTAACAGAAAGTTAAAGCCATGGTAAAAGTATACTTATATATAGGATGAGGATTAAAGAAAAACATGTTAACACCTAACATAATATTCAATATATTAATAACAGATGCTAAATAAATTTTTCATTCATTTGTCAGGACTTAATACAGCACACACTCTAAGGCTGGCATTAGATAGGTTCTGAAAAGATGGGTATCACAGACACATTTTCTGCCCTGAGGGAGCTTATAGTCTATGACAGGCTATGTCCTAGAGACAGACATATAGACAATTATATCGTGGTGTGAAGACCATACTTTACATGTAGGTACAAAGTGCTAAATGAG